GGTACTTTCTTTCAGATTAAAATACTTTCTGTTATTATTTCAATTCACATCCTTTTCTCTCCTAGTACTTTCTTGTTCTTATACTGCATTGTTCCCCAGGGTTGAGAGAACTGCTTCAAGTATATTAGACACATTAATCAGGTCTAGTATATTCTGGCAGTTTGCACTAGAGCTTTTCAATGGTCAGAGGGTTACCAACCCTCATGTCTAGAGTTTTCTTTAACTGCTTATGCCAAATTTACTTCTGTGTATGCTCAGCTTTGGAAATGATCTGACTAATTTAAACTAGAAACAAAAATTATGCCGTAAGGGTTGATGAAGTTTGGAAAGTACTTGATAAATGACCCCTCTTACAAATACTTAAGTAACCAACATCCATTTAGGGATGTTCATATGTGCTGATCAAAGAATGGTTAGCAAGATCATTTATTATCTTCTGTGTATGCTTCAAATACTCTAATAGTTCATATCTTACCTAAGAAGTGATTCTTGAATTGTAGCCCATTAATAAATGAAACAGAACATGGACTTTCAAAATTTGTCTGAATTTTATAGGTTTTCTACTAATACCAAGAAACTCAGTTCAGTCTATATATGTTAAAAAGGAGAGCTCACACACATAAATTTGTCTTTGGAAATGGAGGGTTAGCAAAGGGGCCATTGCTCATTGGTAGTTTTTTTTTTCTGCTGGGTCGTTTGCAGTGAGTAATGGGATATTTCTTTACACCCAGTGCCTTGTGCTACTGCTTCTTATAGGGGAGAAAAGCTTCTAGCCCTGTAGACATAGGCTTCTCTCCCACTCTGAGAACTCCAGGCTAGTATTCTGTTCTGAAATACAGATAGTCCCCAGATTGTGCATGTGCAGGTTTAAAATCACTGAAAAGTCTTGGCATTTTTTCTTGCACTAAATAAAGGCTAAATAAGAAAATAAGCACCAGTTAATGTCCAACTTGCCTACAAATTTAATTGAGCAGCTCACATCAGAGACTGCCTGCTTTGGGGAGCTGAAGAACAAGAGAGACACAGCTTAATGCATCACTGCTTAATGGCCTTATTGATAGGTATGCATCACTTAGTGTAAGTAACACATACTTGTGACTACAGTTGTCATTCAGTCCTGTTCCCTCAAGGTGTTCATCTACAACCATAGCACATGAGCCTTAATCTCTTTACCTGGAGCAAATTTAGTGTGTAAATCAAATATAACAGGAAAATTAATCTGACACTAATTTAATGATGTCCATGTTTATCATTAGGCAAGATCTAACGACATTATACATCCATCATGCCACAAGTTTTGAGGTGTCTTAAAAAAAGGGAAAGCAGCTCTTTTCTATTGTTTATTGTTTCTCCCTGATGGTTTTGAAGGTCCCATACTCAGTCTCTGACAGTGCTGGGGCATAGATGAATTAGAGACAGGTGAGGCAGAGTCATGGCCCTAGGCATGGGCCCTCAGGCTTTGCCCAGCAGGCAGATGGCAGCCATGATGGGGGCTTTGGCCAGGGCTACCCCTGCCACCCTGGTGGATGGGGCAATGAGCAGGGTAGGGTCTGCTTTTCTGCCTCCCTTCTTGTTCCTCTCACTCTGCTCCTGTTCCTATCCTGTCAGACATCCCTGCCACCAGCCTCCTCTTCCAGCCTCTGCCAGCAATTCCCAGCAGCTACAGGGACAAGGGCAACCAGAAGTGGACTCTCCCATGAGTTAAATATGATTTTCGAACAATGTCCAACATATGTAACTTCCTATTCCACAGAACAGATCATGGACATGAGGCAGCCCATGCCTATAATTGTAACTGGCACTCAGTCTCATTCCCTCAAGATGTTCATTTACACCCACACTGCAATCCAGATCTCTTTAGCTGGAACAGGCTTAGTGTTTTAATCCAACATAAACATCAAAGTTAATCTGACACTAATTTTATTATATGCATAACTATTAGTGTGCTGCACATGGTAATTAGATTTAAGTGGTAAGCATTTCAGGTAAGTAACTTTAATTGGAATTACTTTCCATCCTTCAAGTCAGATATTCCTAAAGAGCACTGAATGAAGGGACAGATCAAGAAAAGGCATTTGTATACACAAACACACACAAATAGAAATGCACATTACCTTTCTACCATTGAGTAGATTCTGACTCAAAGTGATGCTCAGTCGTGTTTCCAAGGCTGTGAATCTTCACCAGAGGAGACTGCCTGTCTTTATCCCGTGGAGAGACTGGTGGATTTGAAATCACCAGCCTTTCAATTTACACATAACATACTGCTCCATATACATGTTGGATGGGAGGAAATAGCCAAGTCTCCTGATATTTTCTTTTTTCTTCAGTGTTCACCTTGAACTTGAATCTCAGATTCCCTGTTCTGGTTTTAAAAGAATGTGCTGTTCTCTCGCAAGTCAGAATATCCCTGAAGTGTAGCCCTCCCAGTACCTCCTCCACATAGTCAAGATAGGCAGAGATTGGTACTGGGAAGAGGAGACTAGGGAAAGAAAATGAGAGGCTCCTTCAACAATCGGGTTATGAGTATTCCTGATAGAAGAAAGAGTTCTCCCCCCTTTTTTTATTGTGATTTTAACAAAAGTTTATAGACAAGTCAGATTGTCATTCATTCATTGTTGAATGTTTTCCTCTCAACACCCCTCCAGTTCACTTTTAAAAACATATTCATTCATTGTTGCATAATTCCCTCCCTCCCCCCCTTTCCAAGTTCTCTTTGCTATGCACCTCTTATTATGGACTGTTGTCACACAAATAATGCCTAATCATGTATTCCTTTATAATTTTAAAAAATCCCTTTTTAATTTTAAAAAGGAATACATGATTAGGCATTATCTGGAGAAGAAAGATTTCTGATCATGCAAGTGCCCCTCTACTTTGGTTCTTATGTCTTTTTATGAGGTTATGCCAGAAATGCATGTCTTTGGGAAGCAGCGTAACGGTAGGTTCTTGCTGGTGAGGACTCATTGCTATTGTTGTCAGTTGCCTTTGTGTCACCTCTACCTCGCAGAAATGACAACATGTATAACAGAATCAAAGACTGCCACATCCTATCATCCTAAACCTTCTTCAAGACTGTTGATATGTTTGAGGTCACTGTCCCAATCCATTCCACTGAGGTCTCCATGCCATCACCATCCCTCCACTTTTCCAACTACACACACACACACACACAGAGCAATTGGTCCTTCTAGATTATACATCTAGAGTAAGTGAGCTGAAGACGTGCCCTGTTCACTGCTAAAGAGTATTGTATTTCTTCTAAAATTAGTTAATCCTTCTGACTGCCCAAATTGCAATACTCCAATGGATGTGTGCCCTAACACTGGCGAGAAGAAGATAAAGAGGCATTAATCAAAACTGTAAAAATAGATATTATTGTTGTTAGATGCCATTGAGTCACTTACGACGTATAGTGACCCTATGTACAATGGCCCTGAAGCCTGCTCTATCCTGTGCCAACTTCACTTTCTCTGACACACCTACCCTCATTACTCCAGTCGCTGAATCAGTTCGTCTCGTTAGTGATCTTCCTCACTTTCTCTGTCCCTTCACTTCTCCAAGCATGTTACCCCTCTCCAAGGACTAGTCTCTCCTTGCAATATGCCCAAAGTATATCAGATGGTCAGATGAAGCCTCAGAATATTAGCCTCCAGGGAGCAGCATGAGTTAGAGTTTTTATAAAAGTTAAGTGCAGAACAAGAGGCCGTCCCAGGATGCAAGAGGAAGCAGAATGGGGAAGGATAAAGGTTAATAGAGTTAGATTGTCAGAGACCACTTGGTTGAAGGACTTAAGAAGCTGCAGAGTTTGAGAAGGCACAAAAAAATAATGGAAAGTGACTAAGAGCCTGAGAGAGGGCTCTGCCTTCAGTTTTCGTGACCCCTAAGAATTGCTGATATGGCCCACACACTGGGCTTGCCTGAAATGCTGTGGCCAGGGCCCAGGTGCTGTATCCAGTTCAGTCATGTTGAATGAAGCAAGACTGGAATGGATCCAAATTTGTAAAGTGTGAGTGTACTGGGATGATAACCAGAAAGGAAGAAATTCCTGTTGATGCCCTATTAGAAACCTAATCTCCCTCTTTAGAAAGAAAACCAGCATGCACACAGCATAGCATCCAAAGCTCTGGACTCACAGAGTTGGAAACAAAGGTGCTTTACTCAGAGGTGACAGACTGTGCTCCTTTGAATGTGTGTCACTATCCACAGTCTGGGAACCATCTAATTCCCCACATAAGGTGCCTGAACGGGCTCCCAGCGCCTCGTCTGATCTCCCATTCCAGGACTTCAACCCCTAGCTTCTCTCATTCCAGTTATTGTTCCACTTCACACAGCTTTAACAATTCAAGTCTGTTCTGATTTTGCTGCATCCCTCCTGGCTGAACTGATTTGCACTGGTCTTAAACCTCTCCTTTAGCTTTTATGATTTAATTGGTCTGTGGAGCAGCCTGTACATGGAGAGCATCTAAAAGCTTTGAGGTGATCCTAATACTCAGCCGAGACTGAAGTGATGCCAGATCAGGTCAGGATTAGGCCTCTAAGCACCAGCTCTCTCACTGAAGGGCCGCCTACCACCCAGCAGGGACCTCAGAGAAACAACTCCTGAAGTAGTAGGATAGTGCTCCTGTGAGTCAAGTGAGGTACCAAAGCCAACAGCTAAATAAATAAATAGGGAAACCTGAGGATGCTTGAATAAAGGACTTCCCCCTCTCCACCTGGGAAAGGGCTAGGAGAGTCAGACGGGTGTTAATATCTTCTCATATGGACAGAAATGGTTCAAGCCTAATGTTCCTCTTGAATTGACTCTAATTCCGGGAGAATGAATGAATGTTAACCAAATCCCATCCTATTGTGCTTATCCCTTCCTCCTAATATTAGAAGCTTTGTGGAAAGTCACTGTTCTTGGTGCACTGTGAAGCATTTGAGGTGCAGTTACCTTGTCGGCTGTAGATGTGCTCCTGGGTTCTGTACTTACAAAAGGAACATATTGTATCTTCCAGGTTTGATAGCGTTGACCCCCATCAAATGCTGGACACCAAGCATGTTGAGATCCAGCAGATGGAATCCACTATGGCCTCACTCTCTGAGTCAGCTGGCTTGTTCGAAGTCAATGTTCCCGACTACAAGCAGCTGAGGCAGTGCAGGAAGGAGGCCTGTCAGCTCAAGGAGCTCTGGGACACAATCGGGATGGTGACCTCCAGCATCCATGCCTGGGAAACCACCAAGTGGAGGGACATCAATGTGGAGGCCATGGAGCTTGAGTGCAAACGGTTTGCCCGGCACATCCGGAACCTCGACAAGGAGGTCAGGGCCTGGGACGCATTCACAGGCCTGGAAAGCACCGTGTTGAACACCCTGACATCCCTGAGAGCAGTGGCTGAGCTGCAGAATCCGGCCATCCGGGAGCGGCACTGGAGGCAGCTGATGCAGGCCACAGGCGTGAGCTTCACCATGGATGAGGACACCACCCTGGCTCACCTCCTGCAGCTCCAGCTACACCACTTTGAAGATGAGGTCCGGGGCATTGTGGACAGAGCTGTGAAGGAGATGGGCATGGAGAAGACCTTGAAGGAACTGCAGACCACGTGGGCTGGCATGGAATTCCAGTATGAGGCCCACCCGCGGACCTGTATTCCCCTGTGGAGGTCTGATGAGGACCTCATTGAGATTCTGGAGGACAACCAGGTCCAGCTGCAGAACCTGATGATGTCCAAGTACATTGCTTTCTTCCTGGAGGAAGTGTCAGGCTGGCAAAAGAAGCTCTCCACAGCTGACGCCGTCATCTCCATCTGGTTTGAGGTGCAGCGCACGTGGTCTCACCTAGAGAGTATATTCATTGGCTCTGAAGATATCCGGGCTCAGCTACCACAGGTACCTGCTGAAAACATCTTGCTGTCTACATTCTCTTACCCAAGTCAAGGGAAGATCACTCACTTTCTGTATTTTCTAGACTTTTTCTTCTTTTCTTTCTTGACTTGACTCATGTGCATTCCCAGCAAACACCAATATTACTGGCCACCAAAGGTTAGTTAGTCCAAGAAAGGGCAGTGAAATGCACACCAGTAAGTTTGTCCCAACATGCTTAGGTAAAGGGAAGAAAAGCTTTGCTGGCTAGTATGTATTTGAAAAATATTTTATTATGCTTTTGGAAGAAATTTATGTAGCAAATTAAGGTCTGATTTAACAATTTCTATACATATTATTAAATTACATTTGCCACAGTTTTCTCAATGTGTCAGCATTCTTTTTAAAAAGTTTATTTATATCATCATTCACTTTTATACACTCCCTCATATACATTGTTTTATTCATGTACATTTTGCTTCATACAGTGATTTCTGAACCTTGTGTTTCCTATAATGAATTACTGTTGATGTATTCCTTTTATCTCCCCATCCCCTCAAGTCCTTCCTCACTCTCTGTACTTGGACTATTTCTTAGCTCCCTTGATCCTGCACCAATCTCTGCTGTCCTGGTGATTTTCTCTTCCTTCTTTGACACCCTCTCTCCTCTTACCCTTTTAAACAGTTACGTAGAAATTGTTTCTATTTATTATATTATAAAATATGTTTCTATTTGTTAATTGCAGTACTGAGTTATCTTTATCTCAATTCTTCCCAGGGTGACCCTCTGTTGTCTTGGACCTTGTAGTGTTGTGTACTCATTACGTTTCTGTTCTTCCTGTCTCCCTGACCCCTCAGTTACTCTCCTGCTGTCACAGCAGCGATCTTATGCAATATATACCCTTTTGTGACTGTGTTATTTCACTCAATGTAAGCCCTCTAGACGCTCCCATGTTGTGCCGTACTTTACGAATACTTGCCGATTCTTTAATGCTGCACAGTATCTCACTATGTGAATAGGTCACAATTCTTCTATCTATTCGTTTTCTGATGGGCATTCAGGTTATTTCCATTTTCTTGTCATTGTGAATAATGCTGTGAATATAGATGTATATACCTCTGTTTGCATCTCAGCTCTGATTTCCTTGGGGTATGTTTCCAGCAATGGAATAGTTGAGTCATATGGGATTTCTGTGTTCAGCTTTTTTTTGTGTGTGTGTGTGTGTTCAGCCTTTTGATGAAGCAGCACATGTGTCAACATTCTTCCTTCCATTCTGATTATTCTTTTTTCATTAATCTAGCTTCCTTGTTTCTCCTTATCTTTGCTCTAGGGTTAATGTTAAGTCTCAGGTAGATTATTGTTTAGTGTAACATGGTACTCCTGGTCGTCATTGTCTTGTGAGCTGTTCAGGCTTTTGGCTAAGAGGTGACCTCCATGAGTAATTTGAGCTCCAGGTTTAAAGAGTGTCTTGGGCTGATAATTTTATGGGGTCTGTTAATAGCTACCATTCGAGGAGGTCTGGGCTTGTTGATTTTTTTTTTTAAGGAATTTGAGGTTTTTTGTCCTTTTTGCCTCTCCTGTCTGAGACCATCTACTACAGTGATGCTGATTGGGAGAGTTGGTAGTGATAGGAGTAGGAGGTTACCATCTAATCCTAGTCTCAAGGTAGTGGAGGCTGTGTTTTGTGTAAACTGATTTACAGCCTAGTTTCTTCTTTGAGTCTTAGTGTCCTTCTTCCTCTTTTGTTCCAGACATGTATAATCATATCTTAGAGGTCCTCTTGCAAACTTTTAAGACCCCAGGCTCTGCTCACCAAACTAGAATGCATAGCATTGTATGTTTGACCCATGATAAAGTGGTGGATTCGGTCGCCCTCCCAAAAACTGGAAAACTGTATTTCCTCCTCCTCTTAAATGTGTACACAACAAGGAAGATGGAAAATATTAGCTACTGCAGTTTTAGATGAACTGTTCTGGAAGTGCTATGCTCTGCAGATGATTAACTTGCAGGTATTGATTGAAAGTTAGCATTGTTTCCAGGCAAATTCAAGTTTTGCTCAGGAACTTATTTCTAACATTCCTTTCACAATATGTTCAATATCAGTTTACAGCTAAAACTAAAGTATTAATTTCTCTAGAATATTCATTCCTCTAATTATTACCTCCAGGTAATTGGTTATCCCTTTAGTTTGTCTTAAATTGATGCCCCATCGATTTTCTCATCTCCCAGTGAACTTTAGTTCACTTATTCACTCATTTCATTTCTTTTGCGTATTTCCTCTATACCCCTTCAGTACAGAAAGCTCTTTGCTTATGAATGTGTTTCATTCCAAAATGTCACCTGTTGTGGAGATGTAGTTTAAAACTTTAAGTATCTCACATATCAAAACATTTTACTTTATTATATTGTATACGCTCATCACAAAACCATACTTTTTTTGTTGTTGTTATGTGCTATCAAGCTCCTTGCAACTCATAATGACCCTATGTACCACAGCACTGAACCCTGCTCTCTCTTAGGCCAATTTCATTGTCTCCAACACGCCTACCCCTATTATCTCAGTCTCTGAATCAATCCATTTCATCCAGAATCTGTCCCTCCACCCTCCCAAGTATGATGGGACTGAGGACTGATCCCTCCTTGCAGCATGCCCAAAGTTTGTGAGATCGACCTTCAGAATCCTTGCTTTCAAAGAGCAGCTTTGTTTCACCTTCTCCAGGACTGAGCCTGTTTGTTCTATTAGCAGTACGTGTTATGTTCAATATTCTTCTTCAGCACCACTACTCAAAGGCATCAAATCTTCTGTCATCCTTAGTCATTGTCCAGCTCTCAGATCTATAGCAAGTAACTGCAAAGATTATGGCTTTGATCAGGCACACCTTAGTTTCTAGACTGACATTGTTGCTCTTCACAACTCCAGAGAGGTTTCTGATAGCAGATTTTCCCAATGTAATTCATCTTTTGATTTCTTGGATGCTTGTACCAAGAGAGTTGATTGTGGAAATAAGCAGACTGAAATTGTTAATAATCTCAATCTCAGTCTCTGTCATGATGCTGCCTGTTGGTCTAGTGGTGAGAATATTTGTTTTCTTGATCTTGAACTTCAACATATATTGAAGGCTACAGTCTTTGATCAAATTCTGCAGCAAATGCCTCAGGTCTTCCTCAATTTCAGCAAGCAAGGTTGTGTTATCTGCATAACACAGATTGTTGGTGAGTCTTCCTCCAAACCTGATGGCCACATTCTTCCTCATACAGTCCAGCCTGCTGAATGATCTGTTTTGCATATTGAAAAGATATGGAGATAAAATACATCTTTGGTGTGCACCTTTCCTGATCTTGAACCATGCAGTGTTTCCTTGCTCTGTTCTGACGATTGCCCCCTGGTCCAAGTATAGATTTCACATTAGCACGATCAAGTGTTCTGGGATTCCCAAATCTTTTCAATGTTAGCCATGAATTGTTGTGATCCACACTGTCAAATGCCTTTGCATAGTCAATAAAACACAGCTAGACATTCCCTCTAGTACTCTCTGCTTTCAGCTAAGATCCATCTAACATTGTCTATAATGTCTCTAGTGCCATGGTCTCTTCAAAATCCAGCTTGTGCATCTGGAAGTTCTCTGCTGATTTTGTTCCATTTGGTTTTGGATAATCTTCAGCAGGATCTTATTTGCATCTGATATTAATACTATTTGATAATTTCCATACTCTGTCAGATCATCTTTTACTAGTATATAAATTAAAGATTATACAAGGTCAAAGGCCAGAAGACAATGACAAGTCATTGTAAGTAAGCCAAATTGAATAGTTAAGTTTTCTTTCCCTTAATTGCTAGTGATTGAAAAAGAAGAGCATGTTTAATTAGAAGAAAGTGAAGTTACAGATAGAGACCTTTACAGAAGTGGTATGAAGGAGACTTTTGAGAATTGTACATTAAATATAATAAATAATTGTTATTAGCATCTAATCAGTGCTATAGCTTTGTATGTAAGCATATTTTTGTACTGACAGTATGGTAATAGAAATACATTTGGAACACAAAATCAGACAGCATCAACTATTCTAATAGTGTACTCATTCATTATGACTGTTTTCCAACTTTTCTTCATGTGTGTACATATTTTTACATGATTGCCTTTGGAGCGTAATTGCAATTTTCTATTCAGCTCTGCATTTGAGTGTTTGCATCAGATATTTCCTATACTTCTAGACAACTTTCCATTTTAGTTGGAGCAGAACACTGTGTTGAGATATTATAACTGAGGTTGCTGGCATTTAGTACTTGTAAAGACATTATAATATGAGACTGCTGTCTTGTTCTTTAATGGTCACAGTGAGAGGTAGTGCATGTCAGGGAGAGGGGCAAACTGGAGCTTGGATTGCTCTGGGCTTGAATCCTGACTCTTCCACTTGCCTCTCTGGGTCCTTGAAGAATTCAGTTAACCTCTGGGTGCCTTGACTTCTTCATAAATAAACTAGGGTTAATATCAGTACCTACTTCTGGGACTCAATTTTATATAT